GTAACCTACTCTAACCAATGAACAGGTCATCCAGTCAAAAACTAAACAGAGAAGTAATGGAGCTAACAGACATTATGATTCAACAGGATCAAACAGATACTTATGGAACATTTCACCCAAACACAAAAGAATATATCTTCTTCTCAGCACTTTACAGAACCTTCTCCAAAATTGACAATATACTCAGTCACAAAGCAAGTCTCAACAGATACAAGAAAACTGAAATAACCCCCTATACCTTATCAAACCACCGTAGATTAAAAAGCTGGATTTCAACAACAATAGAAATAACAGAAAGCATACAAACTCATGGAAACTGAACAACTCTCTATTGAATCACCATTGGTCAAGGAAGAAATAAAGAATGAAATTAAGGACTTCCTAGAATTCAGTGAAAATGAACACACAGCATACACAAACTTATGGGACACAATGAACCCTTTAGGTTTTAACTATATGCTGTGGAAGCTTCTTTTCTGGCCATGTCCATTTTGGGAGAGTGTCTGCTCTGAGTTTTTGAATAGTCTACATCTCAGTTTCCCCTTCCACACCACATCTTTACAGGTTTGGTCTCTTCAATGTGCCACAGATGTCCTCAGTGTTGTCACCATTCTTATTTTTTCTCTGTTACTGTTTAAATGTAATAAACTCTCAATATTGTCTTCAAATGTTTTTTTGTCTTTTACATTATATAATATGTTGGTAATGCTTTCTACTATGTTTTATAATTTGATTTACTGAGATGTTCATTTTCAACATTTGTCTTTTTTGCCCCCCCACCCCCAATCTCTGTCTCTTTGCTGAACATCTTGTCCAAGTTGCTGAATTTTCCATCCAAGTCTTCAAGTGATGTATTTACTTTTGACGTTCTCTCTGAGGTCACTGAGCATTTTTGAACAAGATTGAATTGTTTTTTAAAACTAGGTTGAATTTGTATCCAACATTTCAACAGCTTCAGGATCTTTGGATTGAGTTAGTGAAAAGTTATGACCTTAGAAGTCATGTTGCCTGGCTTGCTCATGTTTCTTTGATGTAATCTGTACATCTGTTGAGATGACTATCTGTCTGTTTTATATCAGGGTCTTCAGAGTGAGCAGCCTTCTCTTGAGGCCTCAATTGCAGTACCACTCAGAGAGTAGACAACAAAACCCCATAACCACAAGACAAAAACAAACCAGACATAGAAATTTAATAAAAATCAACGACAAGCAGCAGAAAAGGCACCAATAACCAATGAAAAGAGAGGGTCAAGATAATGTAGAATAAATTACAAATTTAAAAATTAATGAAGGTAAAGATGATAATAACACAAGAATAAAAGTATGGAGGATGGAGGGAAAGGGGGAAAAGAGAAGCAAGATTAAAGTACAGCAAAGGCAAAAGAAAACAATGCAAAGAAGAGAAATAAAGAGACTACAATTTGATTACAAAATAAAAATACTTAAGTAAACTGTATAAAAGATGAAGAAATATAAATTAAAAAACATGGAAAAATAAAAATAATAAGATAAAGTTGGGCTTGTGCCACAGGCTTATAACCTTGTTTACTTAGGGAAACAAGGCAAGAATAATCATAAATGCAAGGCATGCCTGGGCTATGGAGTGAGTTAAGGTCCAGGCTGGGAAAATTTGTGACACTCTTGTCTCCAAACAAAAAATACAAAAGAAGTTGAGAAAAAAAAAAGCTCAGTGGTACAGGCCTTAAACTAGCCTATACCAGGCCCTAGGCTCAATTCTCACAAAAAGTAGAAACACATAAAAAAAATTATAAAAGAAAAAAAGGCTATTGAGCTTTGTTTCAGTTCCTCCAATGCTGGAACCGGTCAGTCCTGTTGGCATTAGGCCGTACATGGAGTGTATTGGAGTTTCTCTCTCTTCGCATTCCGTGTAGGTTGGTGTAGGTTGACTGAGGGCAGGTTGGCCAGGGCTATGTTGTCAATATTAAGGTTTGCACTTACCTGAGTTGTTTCCCTTAGTGGACTGAAACCCCTTGCTGACCCCAATGACCTCTGTGGCCTGTGGGCCAGGCAGGTTCCTACTCATTCCAGAGACACCTGCTCTTCCAGTCTCACACCCAGGGACAGCTGAAGTCCAGAGAGCTGGGAGTCCCCACAAGGGTGGGAGCAGCGGAGAGCTGAGCTCATTCTGGAGTAGAGATGCAGAGCTGAGGAACAGTCTGCCTTCCAGGCTCGGCTTTCTTCGACGCCACAACAGGAAACTACCGAGCGTGCTCCATAAAGTTTAATAAGGAGGCTAAGATGTGGGGTAAATCAGAGTAACTGCTTCCTTGCAAAGAAAACCATAACCGCTAAATCCACCGCGCCCTCTAGTGGTAAAGTACATACCACATTGTTCTTGAGACTTCTGTCTTAAAATGTTTGGTAATTCAATGGCAAGTGGTCAGCCTTGAAATCATACTTATTCCAGTAACGTTATATGTGCTAAGCAGATTATGCATACAATTATACTATATTCTAACTTATATTAGAAATTGTGTGTGTGTTTGTGTGTGTGTGTGTGAAAAACAATTAAAGAAACAGAGGCCAATAATTTGAGAGCGAGCGAGCAAGGGAGGGCTACATAGGAAAGGATGGAGTAACTATTTTTGTGAGTTTTTTATTAGTTTTATTTTTTTATTTTATTTTTTTATTAGTTATGTTTCCATGTCTATCCACTTATGTAGTTAACTTTATTATAGCTACATTTTGTTTCTTAGAAACAAAATTCTGTTAGACTTTTAGTAATTCCCATAAAACTACAAAACATTTTCCGTTCTGATGGCATACCTTTCTAGACCTGTATGTGATTTAAAATATTTGGTCATTGAAAACTAAATTTTATCTGTAAAAGCTCTCCATACATGAGGAGCTGAGGGTGCACCATAGTGGATGGACAAATAAAACAGTTGGTTGTGAAGTAATTAAATATACAACCTGATCAAAGTTAAAGCTTACACAAGGTAGGGCGTTTGCATCTCAGGAAATATCTAGCAATGTCTGGAGTCATACTTTGTATGTTATAGTGACTTGGAGCAGGTAAGTGCTGCTGTCATCTAGTAGGTAGAGTCAAGTCCAGACACTGTTAGCAATATCCAGGACAGGGAAGGTGAGGGGGGAATTAGGAGGAGTAGAGGGTGGAAAAGCTGCAGTCAGGATGTAGTGTATGAGAGAAGAATAAATAAAAATTTAAAAATATATATGTAGATCTTCTTTGGATTCTCTTTCAAACAGTTCAACATTTATGAGATGATTGGGCGTTTGAGCTCTGGCTGAATATGTAGCTGTCAGGAAGGTTTTGACACGATAATGGTATCATTATGTGAGGAAGAGAGTAATCATGTCAAAATCCATCCTGACGAAGGAAGGAAGTGTCTGAAGTCACAGCTGGAACAGGATCGACTGAGCGAGTGGAAATAGTAAAGACTATAAAGAAGTCTGTGGAACTGTACCGATACTAAATAGATTTAAACTTCTGTACACGTAGGTGAAAAAAGAGGTGCAAAGTTGACCCCAAAGTTTCATTCCAGTGTAACCAGAAACACTTTATTTGCTTGACTCTTGTTGACTCAGACAAGTGAGAATGATGCATGTGGGCTTGGCATTGTTGAGCTTTACATGATGAGATGTTATCCAGGGGGTGTGTGAAAGAATGCCACGTGAATAAACCCCCCAACACTGGCGGCTCTGCCCACAGTTCAGAGTAGCAAATGAGAGAGTGAAACTGAGCTGCCATGGAAGCAGCTACAGTGACATCTACCTCTGTTCAGAGAGCAAGAGCCAAACTGCCCACCTCTGCTAGACATAGACTAAAAGAAAGGCAGTTAGTGGGGGATGCCAGAAACTTGAAAAATGCCATGGTTGTGCTTTCTCGAGATGGTGTTGATGTTATATTTGGTCCTTAACTGATTGTCCCACCACAAATATTTATTAGTGACTATTCGATGAGAGCCTTGTGTCACTTTGGTGATGTGGCAACTTTCACTGAAATTTTAAAGGCTCCTAAGTGATCCTCTCTTACAAATTTCTTCCATGATAAGAATGAAGGAGAAATGTAATGTAAATAAGAAATCTTCAAGAGACCTAGCAAGAAGCATGGGGCTGCACAACACAACAAAAGTGGACATTTTTGTGAAGGCTTTCTGTCTTTTCTTCATTATGTAGGCAACAAATTAGCCTAATTTATATCTCGCCCATTTAACCATACTCTGAACAAAAAAAAATAGAAATCACAATGCTTGGTTACAAAGAATCTGAATTCACATTGAAATTTGGAGTGTGTTAATAAAACTCCTAAGCTGGGGGTGTTTTGGGGATATTTTCCAAGTTTAAGGCCTTTTTTATTTTTCACCAACCTGTGGCAGATGTCCATTTTGGTTCATATGTCACTGGAAATGTTTCTACATCTTCTTGTAGTTCCCAGTACTTTGCCACTGGCCTTTAGAACAGTTTTGTTGACTGGTGACTGCTTTGTGGCTGAAGTCTGGGGTAATGAAAGCACACCGTACACCTCCCAGCTTCCTGAATTTACACTGGGGCTGTCTCTTGCTTCCTCACCCATATTCAGTACAGTTGGATTTCTTATGCGTCTCAAAAAAAAAAAAAAGGTACTTGATATTTTCAGTATGCAGACAGGCAGTGATCATGAATGGTGATTGGGAGTGATTTGATCACTGTCAGGCACATGAGAAAAGTCATCATTCAGTTTCAGGATTCTGAAGGCTCTTCAGAATGGCTCTTCCTAATCTGCACTACATCAATTTGGGATGATCTAAAGAAAAAAAATTTTTCACCATGCCCCAGAAATGTATTCTCTCAGTTGTTTCTAATATAAGCTTCCAAATGAGGTGCTGTATCTCTTTAAATAAAAAACTGACAAATGAGAACTTTGTTGATGCATATGTATTTCTAAAGTCAAAATTATATCAATAAGTATTCATTTTAAACACTAGAAAACTGTGTATGAAAGAAGAAAGGATTTTGGAGTGCATGTAGATAATTCTTTCAATCTTTTTCCATTATGGAAATCATCTCATTGTAGACCTCTTGAGGAGCATTCATTGCCCAGATAAAGTCAAGATGATTGTAAGGAAGAACCTCTTTATGGTAAATCAGGTTGGGGAGTTTGGGAAGCAGCATGTCAACATCTCGGGGATCAGCCAGGATGTCATGGCCACCATTCCACACTGCAATTGGCACAGTCATGGCTGACACATCATATTCAGGAGGCGTTTTCTAAAACATGACAGGTGAAAGAAGTGAAATTGAGGCAACCATACTTCAGACAGAACCAGTGTCAATTGTGTGCTAGTTCCAAATGAATTCTCATGATTGCGTCAAGAAAAATCACCATTGCCCACAGAGTAAAGTGAACATATCATAGCTTGGGTCAATGTTTCTCAACTCCTAATAGGTCTGTCAATCATCTAGGACTCTCGTTAAAATGAAGACTGACTCAGCAGATCTGGGAGGAAAGTCAGCGATCTCATCACACTCAACAGTGATGCTGATGCTGCTGGTTCTAAACTATGATCTAAATGGTTGGGCTTTAGATGACAATTCATACCAATTAAAAACCTAGTTTTCAGTTCAGTTGAAGGAAGAGGATTTAACTAGATTCTTATGTGTGTATATGGGATGGATACATGCAAACCATTGTGTAAATGTGGAAGTTAGAATACAGCTTTCATGCTGTCCTTGCCATCCATCATACCCTGGTGGATATACCAGGCCAGCTGGCCAATAACCTCCTGGTAATTCTCCTGTCTCTGCCTCCCTCCTAATAGGGGCACACTGAAGTGATTACAAACTGGGCTTACATAGCAAACACTTTACCCACTGATCCATCACCTCAGCAAAGATTTGACTAGATCACGACTGTGGCAGATTGAAAATTAGGGTTATTTATCTACCACTTGTGGAGAAAAATTGGGCAAGTTTAAATAGGAATAAGTGGGTAACAAACTAACATTGGGGACTTGCCTTGCTCAAAATTAGCCAATGGTAACCTGAGAGTTTGCCCAGAGCAAAGGGTTACAGATATCCTTTCATATCCTGTCAATAATTTCCTACTCTGAATTATTGTGCAAATTTGTATTGACCACCAATTACACCAACTCCAGGCTCTGAATCCTTTGTACCATAGCATGTGTGAGGATTACAAGGCATTTTCATGTTCAAAACTGTGTCTGTCTTTGACCTGAAAACACACCACCGTTTTCTTTTATGTGGAAATATGTTTCATAAAATCATTCATCTGGTTGTCCAAAGGGAGAGGCTGATATATGAGAAAACCACTTAATCTCATGAATGGCCACAACTGTTAACTTATTTCAGCCTGTTCCACTTTAAAAAGTATGTATTGTGAAGAGGCAGGGCCATACTGTTAATTTGTGGAAAGTCTTTGAATGGGACCTGACTTTACTCTGAGGGTCCATTTCCAGAGCATGGTAGTTGGGAAACTGGATAGCAGCATTACTTTGAAAAATGGATACCCAATATCATACTTTTCTTTCCAAACCTTTATGTCTCTGTCTTTTAAATTGTGAGCAATTTGAATCTCAAGAAACTTACCTGATTGTAGTGTAACAGGTTCAGGGATGGGCTTCCCCAGTTAAAGGCTTGAAATTTCTTAGATCTGGCAACCTAATGAAAATATAAAGATAACAATTAAATAAAAAATTAGAAGGAATTAAAATTAATTAGGTAAAAAGCTCTCATAACCCACTTGAAAGCAATTCAACCTCCAAATATCTCATTTTCAATTCTTTGTAATTACTGAGAATATATTTTCTTGTTCTAAATAATTACTAACCATCTAGGATATGTGATGTTCAATACAGAGCATATGTGAATGGAAATTCAGGTTTGTTTCAATTTTTTTTGCATGGCAAATTATAAAAGTAATTATTTCTTTGTTACTCAAAGCACGTGTTTTCCTAAGATTTTCATGCACATGGGTTACGAGTTATTTTTGTAGGTTGACATATACAGAAGAATTGCCTGTCAGGAACATCTTAAGAATGTACTTTAGGTTAAGTACAAAGGTTCAATGTCACAAAATGAATGTTAACAGCATTTAATAATGATACCTGGGCCCAGTGGAGGATGTCTTGAACGGATGTTCCTGCTGGATTATGCCCTAGATACACATCGAATCGACTCTAGAAGTCAAACACACACATATACACATAGGCTTAGATATATTTGTTTTCTGAAAAGTGACCGTCAGTATGAGGCCAGAAAGTTTTATCTAATTTCTGAACTTAAATTCTCAACTTTCTATTTAGTATCAGAGTGCAAGAGATTAAATATTATACACGAGTTCCTTGCTTTGCATGATTTTAATATATATTAAATAATTGTACACATACACACACATATATATGATAACTATTGTATATATTTAATTATAGTATTTTATCTGACCTCTAAATCACTTTGCTCAGACTCATTAGTGTTCTGAGGTTCCATTCCCAGATTGTGTAGGCCAATTGAACAAGGGGTCTTAGACTGTGGAGTAAGTCAACTGCCATCAAAGAGACTGAGACCTCCCTCCATATAAACAGCATGAGGAAGACAAGCTCTACTTTTGTTTGTTCTCTGCATCCTTATTTTACTGTTATCTTTCTCTGAAGACTCTTATAGATATAACACAAGAATCAATCTGGGTCTTGTTGTTGTTGTTTTTTGTTTGCTGTTTGTTTTTGGCGGAATAAGGACAGGATGCTCTGCTACCTTCCTCATCCATAATGAGAAATAGCCTCAAATTGAAAAGAAGAAGGAGTCCCTTACCACCATAAAAGGAACATAAAGGAAAAACATAAACAAATGTAGATGCACTTATCCATCCATAGGTGGATCACTGGTCCTGAGAAAGACAACTGAAATTCCTTAGTCTCCGTGGTGACAGTAGCCAAGTTTCACTACTATGTTCCCAATGAGTACAGAAATTAGTATACTACATTTTCACAATAAAATTAATTTTTTAGGAGTTCAAAGGTTTAAATTAGTCAGGATAGCCCTGTAATTGCAGCTACTTGGAGGCTGAGTCAAGAAGATCTCTGGTTAAAGCCCTCCCTTGGCTGTAGAATGACTGGGAAACTTAGCAAGATCCTATCTCCCCAAAAAAATTCTATTTAAAAAATACTGACAATATACTTCAGTGGTGAACCTGGTCCTAAAATTCCTAAGTTCTACCCTTAGTACCACAAAGCAAAATGAAAGAAAGCAAAAACCAGCAGAAGTATGTGCATGTGGAATAGTAATGTATGTGTGTACGCTATGATCATTGTTATGTGCTTTATGTTATATTCTATCTGTATTAAATATTTCAGCTAATTTGAACTTTAGAATAGTGTGTGTGTGTGTGTGTGTGTGTGTGTGTGTGTGTGTGTGTGTGTGTGTGTAAACCAATACAGGAGTTTAAATCAGTTCCAAAAGTAGGATGTAAATTAGGCTGATATGAATCCATATGTTTATGGACCTCATGATATTAGATTTTCTCATGAAAATTTTAGAACTCCAACTCAGAGAATAAAAATGCAGGTCAGGATATGGATAAGCTGTTACACAGCTTCACTGCAATGAGTTTTACAAAATCAATGGATTTGACCAGCAGCATTAAAAGCATCTATGACACTGATTTGATCACTATGCATTGTTCTTCAGCAGAGCCTGCCCAATAAGGTCCATTCCCTTCTGTCACAGAAGGTAAATGCCATGCCAGCCAACAGTTTTGAATGAGAACCAGAGATGAAATTGCAATGAGCTTTGTGATTTCTCTGAGGTCTACCGTAGTGCTGTGGGCACAATTGTAAGATGACTCTTAGTTCTTGTGAAATACCATGTCTAAGTGATGATAAAGCAGTCAAAAGCATTTGGAAAGAGTTTCTTGAATGGAGGTCACAATGCATACACACCACATTCAAGTTCTGCCTGTCAAATCCACACATGATGAATAAAGCGTTACTGCAGAGACGGTCGAGCAGCTCCCGGGAGCACACTTCAGTACCGAGAAATTGATCAAAGAAGTTGTGTGGCATGAATATTTTGTCACCAAATATCATCTGAAAAATAAAAGCATCATTAGAACATGGCAACAGCCAAGCTGTAGAAAGCCTACTTAATTGATGAAGCCACTCATTCAGGTGTGATTATACTTGTATTTTTGTTTAGTTTTATAAGTTGTTTTAGGAGTTTCCTGTTCTTTAGACCTGTATCTATCACCATGTACAAAAATCAATTACAAACAGATCAGACATAAGTGTGAAGCCTGAAACAGTGAAACTTCTAGAAGAAAGCATAGACAGTACCATATATGATGTAGGTATAGTGAAGGATGTTCTGAAGGAGATTCAGCCTAAGAAAGCCAACACTTGACAAGTGGGATCTCATAAAACTAAAAAGCTTCTGCACAGCTAAAGAAAGAATTAACTAGGCAAAGAGGAAGCCACAGAATGGAAAATAATCTTTGCTAGTTATACCTCTGGCAAAGAATTAATATCCAGATCATATAAAGGACAACAAAACAAAAAAGCAACCCATTCAAAAAAATGGACACAGAACCTGAACAGAGAGTTCTCAAAACAAAACAAACAAACAAAACAAACAAACAAACAAAAAACATGGTAGCTAAGAAATACCTCAAAAAATGTTCATTGTCTCTAACAATTAGAGAAATGCAAATCAAAACAACTTTGAGATTTCATCTTACCCCAGTCAGAATGGCAAAGACCAACAAAACAACACACAACAATTCCTGAGGGGAGTGTAGGGAAGCCCCACACTCCCTGTTGAGAGCATTGCAAACTTGTGAAGCCACTCAGGAAATCACTGTGGAGAATTCTCAACAAGCTAAAAATAAATCTACCTCTCTATACCACTCATTGGCATGTACACAGAGGACTCCACATCATACTCTAGAGACACTTGCTCAACCATGTTCATTGCTGCTGTATTCACAGTAGCTAGGAAGTGGAAACAATCTAAATGTCCTTCAGCTGATGAATGGATAATAAAAAAGCAAAGCACATACAATATGGACTACTATTCAACTGTAAAGAAAAAAGAAATCATGAACTTTGCAGTACATAGATAGAACTAGAAAAGACCATATAGAGTGAGGTAACCCAGACTCAGAAAGACAAATGTCCCGTGTTCTCTTTCTTCGAGGCTCTGAGCTCCAAATCTTTAGATATGTTAGTACATATCCTAGAGCAACAATGAAACCAGGAAGGTAAAAAGTGGCCATTGCCAGGGTGGGTAAGTTGGGGGACAATAAAGACAGGAATATTAGGGTACAAGTGATCTGATTGTGGCAATGAGATAAAGAATGGGCTCTAATTAAGGAGGAGAATGGAGATAATTGCAGAAGAAGGGGAAGGAGGGTAAAATAACATCAACAATATCTGAAAAAGTCATGAGGAATTTTACTGTTAACTATCAACCAAAAAATTACAACACATGAAACTTTTTATATAAATATACATATAGAGATTAAATGAAAATTTCTCATCTGGACTGATAACACTCTCTCCAAGAGCCAAAGACCTTCTAACAAAAACCCCAACAACAAGCACGAGAAGCTCTCATTTGATTGGTTGAAGTTGTTGATCAGGATTGTCCAAGAGACTTCCAAAACATTATAGACTATTGCTATTGCCCTTGGTTGCCCACCACAGGTGGAAGGTAAGATCCTACTATTGAAAACACCATGCGATTCAGACATAGGACCTGGAGACCCCTGAGCTGGAACTGACTGAAATGCCTCCTCCTGGAGAACTAGCTTTCATGGTCCCAGAAGGCATCATGCAAACTTCTAACAGTTCTAATCAGCTATGACACCTATGAACCACAACAATGACCAGCATGGTGAGATAACCCTAAGGATGCAGTAGTCACACACAGACCATGATGGTAAAGAACAGCTCTCTAATTGGACTTAAGACCCACTCAACAAAAGCAAATCATTCGGATACAAGAAAGCTATCTCACTCCCCAGACATAGTAAAGTCATGAATTTTGGAGGAGAACCTACAACTACCACTTTGCTAAACCAGCATAATCCCTAACTACATTCTAAATATTTTGCCTTTATGCCCACAGGTAAGTGTAGTCCTCACCCCTCATAAAGGAAACTTCTCTTTGCAACAGGCAAGAGATCATTACAGAAAACTACAATCAGTCAAAATGCAGAGTTGTGCAGTCAAATCTCAACTGGTACATCTATAATACAATCCCACACCTAAGATTCAGAGAACTGTGGAAGAGAGGCAGAAAGACTATAAGAGCCAGATTGCCAGAGAGTTTGCTGTGACACTGTGGATCCTTGTCGTGCCAGAAGCTACATTCACAAAGTCTCACCAGCGTGACTCCTAAACATGAGCTGGACAAGGATGACACCATGAGGCATGCTAATGTGGACAGGAGGAAAGACTATGAGGCCTCAATCCTACACAAGGAACTATAGGCAACTAAGAAAAGCTGATAACTAGAGAGGTAGCCTTTCCTAGGGAAGCAGAAACCAATTGTTTATCCAATTCCAAATGGTCATCCCTGAAAAATACATATACAAATATCACTATACAGATTGAACAGGTTATATTAGGAATATATAGGTATGTGAATGTGTGTATATGTGTGTTGCAACAGTTAATGAAAAAAGAGGTCATGAATTTGAAAGAGATCAAGGAGGGATATGTGGAAGTGTTTGGAGAGAGAAAAGGGAAGGGGGAAATGATGCTATAATATTCTCAAAAATAAAATAAAATATTCATTATGTGTGTGGGGGGATGGAGGGGTACATATGTGCTACAGAAGGTGTGTGGAGATTAGAGGACAACCTGTGGGAATCTGTCGTTCTCTCCTCCCACCACGTGTGTCCCAGTAATTGGACTTAGGTTATCATACTTGGCAGCAATGTACTCATTGAGATATTTTACCCCCTCTTTCATTTAATTCTCTCAATGAAATTGTGAAATGGAAAGAGCAGATATAACATTCAGTGTGTATTACTGAATTGAGAACTATATAGCCTCTTGGAGCAAGTAGAAGACACAATGAATTATAAGTCAGCCGGAGTAATAAAAATTATGGAATCAAACCTGAAATAACATGGCAGACTGTCATAATTACATATCAACATGTGTGATTTGAGTAATAAATTATGAGATCAGGAGGAAAAAAATGGGGACTCAGAGAGATATCTCTAGGAAAATCTTTAGACTCAGGTGTGTTGAGGTTTGAGACATTTTGCTTTCTCAATTTTATACCCAAGGAAACATGGCTAGGAAATAGTGTTTCAGACTAATTAGTACTAGATTATACCCGCAATTCTGTTTCATGCCTGTGATTTAAGGTCTATATGTCTTCTCTTTTCAGTTTCTCTGTTCTTGCTACCTGATAATTTGAGCATAAGTGGGAACTAAGAGGCTCAGTGCAGCAGGAAATGGTCGCAGTCATCTCAACGCTTCAGGTTTTGCATAAAAGCTTTGTTAATACATTTGACTGTAGGCAGTGTTTTTGGCTTTAGGTGTGCATGCTAATTTAGAGTGAAAGTGAATGGTCAATACAATACTAAAGAGAAAGATATAATTACTGTACTGTACTTATAGTCTCAGACTGAACCATTCTTATAAAGGAAATTGTGCAAATGTGCAGGTGTGTCTGCATGTGTTGGCTTAAGTGCAAGAAAAGTAGGGCATTAAACATTTGAATAGGAAAGTGCTATTATTTCATTGCTATATGTACCTGTTCAATAGGCACTAAATATTTATGGTCTATTCAAGTCCATACTACTGTCCTATGAAATTTCCATTGCTTGGGACAAGAGTTCTTAGGCAGACCAAGAGCCTTTAATTGGAGGTTACACAGTATTTACTTTGTTCATTTGTTGATTCCCTTGCTTTATTTTTTCCTTCCCTTCTCTCCCTTCTTTTCCTCCTCTTCCAAGTTTCTATGGCCCTACCTACTTTTCTCTGCTTTTAACACTCCATTTCCTATTGTGGAGGTGGAACTGCTACCTTGACACAGGTGTGTAGAATGCTTGGACAGTGAAACACCCTTGAAAAAGCAAAACACTTATGGCATTGACAACCCACCCTATGCTGATCAAAACCAAAGTAATAAATGGGGATCTCAGAGGCAAGAGGGAATCAATACATTTTAACACCATGAGAGAGATAATATAAACACATACAATTTCGTTTGCTGATATGAATATGTTCATCCCTAAGGAACATAGATTTACTTTGTTCATTTTGAAATCCAATAGCAACTGGATACCTTAAGTAGAATCACATACCTTGAAAAGAAATGTAGGAATAACTGAAAGCTTTTTCAAAGGGCTTTGTGCGTATGTCACAGTAGCAACTGGAGCTAATGCATAAAATGTCTTGATTCTTTTAGCCAGTTCAGGCATGGTAGAAAAGGCAATAAAACCTGAAATAGAACAGACCATGAGTAAGAAGGTGTGTGCATGTGTGTGCTGTTCTGTTTTCACAAGTGTGATATTATTTTGGACTTGCTAAAATGCCATATGAAGCAAGCTGTGAAACTGGCACATTAGTTTTTCGAGATAGTGTAAGCATAGTGATGGCACTTTAAATATCCACTAATGAACAAGAATTAAGAAGTTCAGTCTTCAGTTAACTCAAGATAGAGACAGAGTGGAGTAATTCACTGTCAACGCAAGCAGTTTTACTTATCTTGATAAGCTGTAAGGAAACTGTTGCATTACATCTCAATTCAATAATTTTATAACCTGTTAGTGACAAATCACTAAGTTATATTACTATCTGTGCCACAGAAAGTTAATGATATGAGAGCCCCCTACACCAGGCACAGTTATTGGCAGATGCCGGCAATCTCAACACTCCTGAGGCTGAGTCAAGAGGGTCAGGAGTTTGGAATCAGTCTGAGCTACACAGGACAGCCTTGTTTCAAAAAAACCACCAACAGCAACAACAAAGATGCCTATGATTTCTAGGAAGGTAATTCCAACAACTACCTCTCAGACTTCGTTTCACATAGCTTTTGTTAAGTAGTAAACACATCCTCCTTTTGGATTCCAGAATTCTGGGCTGCCCTTCCACATCAGTATGACTACCTCTGACTTTGTTTCCTCTATCACAGAACTCTCATCTGGTAAATGAAGGAATAACTCAAGCATGTGCTAAGACCTCGCCTCTCCTTTAAGATTTCCTTTTTACTGATATTAAAGGCTGATGTCCTTATAATATTTAAAGAACCCTGAACATTCTGTTCTTCCAAGTTGCTGCAATGTCATCACACTCTATTTCTCTCTCATTGTCTCTTACTCTGACTCATTGCCATGATGACCAGTTTCACTGCTGTTCCCTGAACTTGTTATTCATCTTTGGATATATTTGCTGTTCTCCCTCCTTAGAACATCAGGCTACCACACATGCACATGACTCTTCTACGTCTTTATTCAAAGGGTGTTTGCAGGATTTCTCTGTTGAAAATAGCTTCAAAAGTCCTCTGAAACTCCCTAAAATCCTCCGTGAGGTATATTTCCCATGGCATTACCATGGTTTGTTGTACTCTATGGTACTTTTAATCTGTTACTTTTCTGCCCCCTCACCCATTTAAGTAATATAAAGGCAGAGACTTTAATTTATCTTCTTTGGTATGTTATTTGGGCAAATGATCTGGTTTCTATTAAAAAAAAAAGATGAAATGAAAAGAACAAATTTAACTAGGAAGCTGGAACATGCTGCCTTGAGAGTCAGGTGACTTGGACTGGTATTGGAGCCATTCTATTGGACTATTGATGAACACTCACGCTGCTTGCTTGAGTTATTTATTCCACTGCTTGATTTGTCCTTCTCCAGTCCTTATATCACTGGATTGCAATGGATATTGCATTTTATAAAGTTGCATAGCAGTGGCTATGCTACTGAGCAGTGGTATAGGAACTGTATCTAGTCTCTGTGTTTTTACTCACCAATAGTGGTGCCCTGAGAATGACCAACATAGTGCAACTTCTCTTGTCCAGTTTTCTGTACAATGAAGTCTATTGTGGCTGGAAGGTCATATTTAGCCATTTCATCAAAGCTGTAAGGAAAAAGAAAATCAAACAAAATGTATTTTCTTGTTATAGTTTCTAAAACTCAAGCATATTTATTGAGAAAACTCTATTTCTACTTGAGAAATAGAAAAATGAGACACTTTATGTCAATGCCAGGTGCCTCTGGTGGGGGGTTGCTTGTAAGCAAAGGTCATCTTTTTCAAATAATGCATAACAAATGGCTGCAATCCAATCTAAACAAGATAGTATCTGTGAGTGAGAATTATTTTCATACCTGAAATAGGATAGCAGATTTAATAAGCGTTTGTATTCTATATTAAAACTCCGTCTCATATGAGTCCCATCCCTGTAATACATTCTTCTCAAATCACCCAGAATGATAGACAAATGAGAACTCGAACAATTTTTAGTGGCTTCTTGTTGTGCACAGAATGAACTTCAACACCCTCTCCACACCCAGTCCTTGTCAACATCACTAGTGCTGTCTTGTGTCGCTGTCTCCCTCTTACTCGCTACACCAGGTACACGTGGGCTTCGTATCAGCTCTCAGAACCATTGACGCACTCCTGTACCTCAGCAACATCAGCCAGATGCTCTTCTGACCTCCAAGAGTAGGGCACAAGAAGGAGTTGGGTACCTTTGATAATTTTCCTGTGCCCGAACTTTGGGCTTTTGATGCTGATGCAGGTTACTGTCCTTCCTCCCAGTTCTGACACCTTCCCAGTCCCAGTTCTGACACCTTCCCAGTCTATTGGCTTCTCTCCGTGGACCTTTCTAGGCACAGGGAGTTGCCTTGCATCCTCCCTTTGGCCGTGTTGTTAATTTTACTTGGAAAAGCATTTTTAAGCATCTCTTGATCTTGAGTATGGAGATAATAGCAAACTGGAAGGAAAACTACCCTAGAAGTGAGGTATATAGAAGATTCAAATGTTGGTTTAGAATGACATGGATTTTCACCTCCTACCTAGAGTATAGTCGGCTGGGATGGAAAGCGACAACGGCCCTGCTTGTGGAGTCCAAATACATGTCCATTTTGAATTATCCTCTTTCTTTACCTGAAAGCCCAGAATTGAACTGAGTCTGGAGAATAATATAAATTTTTCCTGGACCATGTGTTCCCTCGGCTGTTCCCCAGCCACACATCATAGCCAGCGTCTGCCAAAATGAAGGCCAGGCTGTTGTTGGGCAGATTTGCGATCCAGTTTGTGGCTGATGCTAGCAAACCATGCTGCAAAAACACCACAGGTCTGTGGCCTAGGGAAGAAGATTATTCAAATATTATGAACTTATTCTTTGTGGTAGACATGTGGTCAGAATTAAGTATGTTCACTTTGTTGAGGTTGTATTTGACATCTAATTTTCTTTTTCTCAAGCTTGTTTCATGTGCCAAAATTGATCAAATTGTACATCTTATTTATTTATTTATTTATTTATTTATTTATTTATTTATTTATTTATTTATTTATTTATTTATTATTTCTATGTATTTGTGTAAACCTGTATGAGTTTATAAGCACCACATGTTTGCAGGAGTCTTCAGTGACCAGAAGATGGCATCTGATCTCCTGGAATAGGAGTTACAGACAGTTGTGAGCAGCCAGCATGTGGCTTCTGAGAATTGAAGCCAAGTCCTATGTAAGAGCAGCTAGGGTTCTTAACAACTGAACAATCACTCTGGTGAATACTATACTTTTATTTATTGCATTCATATTTATCAACACAGGACCTTGTATATGCTAGGCAAATGTACTGCTAGCTATATCCTCATGTCATATTGTATATATGAAATATGCTCACTGTGTTATATGCCAGTTATATATAAATAAACATATTACATGAATTGTCTAAGGAAATTAAGCACTGTGTAAATGTAAGTTAAGAGTAATAAAGTTATGTTTCACTATTTTTTGTAATGAGAAAAAGAAATGAAAATTTAACAATATCATCAAAATAAAATGACCTTTATCTGTTTAGGAAATAGACTTCTTGCTGCCTCCCAACCTTCCCCTCTACAATACAAGCTGGTTAACTTTTTTCATGCACTGGGATTCAGCTTACTTACTGTGTTGAAAGAAATGGCCCCTGATTTCTTTCTTTCTTTTTTTTAACATTTTATAAAATCTTTATTGATAAATAATTCACATAGTATGAAATTGAAGACAGCGATGTTCTAAAATAGAATGTGGTGATGGTCCCTGAATTCTTTAGCTGTGTTAGAAGCCTTTAATAGTCTGTATATAACAACAGGAATGCATTTTTATCATGATCACTTTCTCATTCCTCTGCCTCATTGACTTGATTGCTATCTATTTAAGATTGGAAATACAATGTTGTGTTGCATTTCCAGAGTGATCAGGACTTATTTCACCCTTAGAAAGGGTGGGAAAAAGAAGTAGAAAAAGATAGGGGATATATGGAGAGATGGAGGAAGGAAAGGGGAAAAGATAAGGAAGAAAAGAGAGACTATGAGGGAATGGAGGGAGTTTGTACCTAAATTCTCTGAATTTTTCTTCCCATAAGGAATTCTGTAGATCCCCAGAATGTAGCCATCTTCAGTAATAACATCATACTCTTCACTAGGATATCCCCAGTAATTTATCATCTGGCTCTGAGAAGGAAAATTAAAAAAAAAAAACTTTATGTTTTAACTAATTTAAAATGCATCTAACAGATTTTTTAATGAATTTTAACTAAAAATTAAAATAGCACTAAAAGTGTAGACCCATTGTAACTCTAATTCCAGCAATATCTGCTGTGGGATGGTCTGTATGTCAAATGTGTTGCTCTGATTGGTCAATAAATAAATCACTGATTGGCCAGTGGCTAGGCAGGAAGTATAGGCAGGACAAAGAGGAGAATAAAGCTGGGAAGTGGAAGGCTGAGTCAGAGAGACACTGCCAGCTGCCATGATGAGAAACAGCATGTGAAGATGCCGGTAAGCCATGAGCCATGTGGCAAGGTATAGATTAATGGAAATGGATTAATTTAAGCTGTAAGAACAGTTAGCAAGAAGCCTGCCACGGCCATACAGTTTGTAACCAATATAAGTCTCTGTGTTTACTTGGTTGGGTCTGAGATGCTGCGGGACTGGCAGGTGACAGAGATTTGTCCTGACTGTGGGCCAGGCAGGAAAACTCTAGCTACAAATATCCCTCAGTAACTCACAATATTCATGTTCGCTTCAGGACTTTCAGGAGCCAGTTTTCCCAGTAAGCCATGTGTCCCTCCAAATGTAGATATCACACTTGTTACTGTCAACAGCAGCCACATCTTGGTTTGCCCTGAAACAAAAGGATAAGCTATATTGTGGTTAACCCACAGTGCTTCCATAACGTTCAGTGTTTGTGACGATTTTACTTAAAAGAGATGTATAGGGATGATTGAGTTCGATTATAGTCTGTTGAGCAAAACCTGGGAGATTATCAGTAGCTTGGGGGGCCAGCCTCCAGCTACCACCAGGGTATGCAAAAGAATCCACGAAGGCAGCAAGAGTTTAAGAAAAAATTTTATTTACCTGAGGGCTAGACTTTTTCTATTTGAGGGTATTTAGAAATTAGTTTCTATCTATCTGAGGGGTAAAAGAAGAAAACACATGCTTTCTGATGGTAACTTACTCTTTTTCATCTAGAAAAATTTCTTTCTCTGAAAATCTGTCTCCACAAGATACATTCCACATGGTTACATTCTCCATACAGCCAAGTTACATTTCACACTGTTACATTCTCCATAAATTCTCCACACAGCCAAATACCTCTTTTGCACAGATATATCTACACATTTCTTCTCTCTACTCTGTTACATTCTTTCACATACGGTTACAGCATTTATTCACTCTTTACTAACTCATTCTCTCATTCATTCACTCTTTCATCTTACTCTCACACTTCTTCTCTGCCCAACTTTGGACAATTGTATGTTACAATTTCTCTCTGCCCATTCAGCTACATCTCTCACTTAGCACACACACCAGCACACACTCACACATTCACTCTTATCCTCTGCCCATCTCTTGAACCATTCCTTCACATCGCTTGCTCTCCTCACAGCCAAACTCTGCACAATTACATGTTACATTTTCAGGGTGCGACCTATTTCTTATAACACGTGATAAGTCATACAGTTTTTCTCAGGCTAGGAAGGTTGTGCTGACTGGCCAGTGCAACGCTTGGCTAAGCATGTAACTGTAAGTTGGTGATAGTTCCCAGACAGAAAGTAAACAGTTGACTGCACCTAGAGCCTGTAACATAAACTGAGGCTGAGACTACATGCCAATAAGTCAGTTATTACAGGAGGTTATGTCTACTAAAGTTGCTTCAATTCTGACCCTGATTCAGCAATACTGGGAACTAGTCTTTGTGTATTTTCTGTATGGGCAGATTAGTCCATTTTGAATTTTTTCTAAAGTCTAAAATTAGCTGTCTTAGAGACTGAGAAAACTGTTACTTTCCTGTGTTAGTAAAGAAAAAAAATTTGGTATTATTTCTATTCATTAGAATTATACAGCTTAAACATAAGTCATTTTCCTGACCATCCATAACTATATGTGTGCCCAAAGATGAAATATTTACTCAAGATAAATGCACAAGCAACGGGAAAACACCTATAGTAGTTCTTAGGGAAGAAATACAATAGTATACAAGAAATTACAGACAGAAACAACTGGTCAGTAATAGTCAGTGACCCCACACTCTGTCAAGTGAGGCTCCCTAACAGGGATTGATTTGTCTGGTGGATTGGCCAGCCAAATAGTAGCTGTCACCTGTTGTATACTTCCATGGCCCTCAGAAATTCCCCCTTTTTTGTTTTTTAAAAAATGATGTAAATCTCTCTTTATAGATAATAGGTATAGATATAGGTAATCTATAGGAAAATTTATCTTAATGTTTGACATAGTTTAACTGTGATTGTTTCTTCTCTCTCTCTCGTGTGTGTGTGCATGTGTGCATGCGTGCGTGCATGCGTGCGTGTGTGTGTGTGTGTGTGTGTGTGTGTGTGTGTGTGTGTGTGTTCAAATGAGTCTGTGTAGAGAGACAGAAGACAACTTGGATGTTTTCCTCAGGATTCAGAGTCTTTCACTAGGCTGGAGTTTGCTGAATAGGCTGGGTCATTGGTCAGAAAACCCCAGGGATCCACCTGTCTCATCTCCCCCAGCTCTGGAATTATCAGCATGCATCACCATGCCCAGCTATTTTACTGAGTTCTGGGGATAGAACTCAGGTCCTTAACCGTGCATGACAAGTACTTAATGAGCTGAGCCATCTACTCAGTCCTGATTCTTTTTCTTTAAAAACATTTCCAACTCAGGATTTTAATCAGCAAACAATCTTCCATCTGTTAGGTGAAGCATAGTTTTATTATTCTGTATGCTTAAGACTTCGGTCAAACTTGTCTTTTGAGCATAGATGGTTATATGGGCATTGGATGACTTTATATCAATTTTAACATTATGTACATTCAAAGCTATCATTATGGGGCTGGAGAGATGGCTTAGTGGATGAAAGTCCTTGCTATGCAAGCCTGGTGACCTGTATTTGATCCTGAGAACCCATTTCCAAAAACTGTCCTCTGACATCCACATGTGCTCTGTGGCAGTCACATACACTCTGAAATAAATACAACTATCATTGTGTTAAGGTATTTGATAATAGCCACTTCATAACTACTTACTGATTTGAAATCACTATGTGAATTTGAAAGATGATGTCATCTCAAAACAATGTCATAGAATAATGCATGGGTGTAATTCTAAGAAACTGTAGCTCTTTCAATTTTCTACTGAGATTATCTCTTTGAAATTACTATATATGGTAGATTATAAGTCAGCAGTGTATTACATGGTTGGATACCTTTTTCAGAAGTATTTAAAAGCAAAAAGTAATTTACTATTATTATTTGTTAAAAAAAAGTATAAGGGCTTTACTAGTTGAATCATCTCATATTTAAGCATGAGACCGAAAACCTATGTTTTAGAAAACAATGACTTCAAAAGGACTGAATCTATTCTACTACTTAAATGATTGATCTTTCATATAACTTGTCTTCAAAGTTGTTATCTTTTATGTAGTTGTAAAGTAATGCAGGCTGATAATAAATGAGTGAAAATTTTAGATTGCAAATAGCCAAACTGATGATCCTATCTTGCTATATCTAATCACTCATAAAACCTGAATAGATTCTACTTCCTTGCGTTTTTGTATTTTGATTAGTATTTCAAATTATAAACTTTGATTTTGGAAAGGAACATTGCAACATGCTTTTTTTGATTATGTGATTGTAATTGCCATTTATCTTTTAGTAGGGATGATACTCAGACCATCTTAGCTTACTTCAATGTTGTAAGAACCAACTACCAATTCTAGAATATTCACACATTGAAGTTAAGAAAAAAAAAACATAAGAGAGAGTATTATTTTTCTCAAGTTTGAAGAGATGCCATATGCAGGCTAGTTTTAAACAAAGATCGTTTTAGTGTGTCTGAAATCTGTGGTGGTATTGTGTTCCCCAAAATATTGTGCACCCTAATAAACTTATCTGGGGTCAGAGAACAGGACAGTCACAATATTAAACATAGAGGATAGGCAGTGGTAGCACACACCTTTAGTCCCAGCATTCCAGAGGAAGAAATCCCTCTGGATCTCTGTGAGTTCAAGGCCACATTGGAAACAGCCAGGCATGGTGACATATGCCTTTAATCCCAAGAAGTGAGCCTTTAATCCCAGGGAGTGATGGCAAAAACAGAAAGATATATAAGGCGTGGAGACCAGAAACTAGAAGCATTTGGCTGGTTAAGCTTTTGGCTGGTTAAGTTTCAGGCTTTTGAGCAGCAGTTCAGCTGAGATTCATTTGGATAAGGACTCAGAGGCTTCCAGTCTGAGGAAACAGGATCAGCTGAGGAACTGGCGAGGTGAGGTAGCTGTGGCTTGTTCTGCTTCTCTGATCTTCCAGCATTCACCCCAATACCTGGCTCTGGGTTTAATTTTATTAATAAGACCATTTAAACTTCCTGCTACAGAAATCATTCTGTGTGTGTGTGTGTGTGTGTGTGTGTGTGTGTGTGTGTGTGTGTGTGTGTGTGTGTGTATGCTGTGTGCTAGAAGCAAGTTTGGTGATCATATATGAAAAGATTTTAATTGTGTACAGTAGAGAATTTGTAAAATTTGGATCATTTGTTTCAAATGTTGTTCTTTGAAAGAGGATCAGGTATCTATTGTGGGATATTTGTACACTGTGTGAAAATGTATCGCTGTGATTGGTGTAATAAAAAGCTGAATAATCGATAGATAGGAAGGAGATATAGGCAGTACTTCTGGGCAGAGAGAGAGAAACTGGGAAGAAGAATCTAGGTGTGGAGGAAATGCCAGGAGACATGGAACAAGTTAAGTGTACAGAAATGGAAAAGATGTTTAAAAAAGCCACGTGGTAGAACATAGATTAATAGAAGCAGATAAATTTAAGTCATAAGAGCTAGTTGGGAGCAAGCCTAAACTAAGGCCGAGCTTTCATAATTGATAAGAAGTCTCCATGTCATTATTTGCAGGATGGTGGTCCTGATGAAAAAGTACTATTACAGGTGTCAGTTGCTGTCAATATTTCAATAAATACTGCATGATTATTTATTCATGTAGTACACTTTGTAAAGTTCCTGGCTTTCATGGTGCTGAACTAGAGATTCCAAGACCTAAATCTAATCATCTGGTCTGAGAATTTAGCCACTTAGTGTTGAAATTGGATATAATGATGTCTCTGGAAATAGATTTAACTAAAGCTTCTCTGTACAATGGAAATTCATGAAGGGATAAACCAATTTATAAAGACCAATCACCTCTTTAACATCAAATCAAATGGTTGTCAGACTATTAAAGAATTCATGGTTTCTTTTTAGCATTTGTTGTCTCAATTAAGTAATTTGCCTTTTTAAAATGAGGCCATTCTACCAATGGTTTGAGTTATTGGATGGCCCAATAACAGAAGTATACAAGACAGGTTCTGAAAAACTTGAGGCATGATTAAATTCCTCAAAATATCTGACATCAAATTCCAGGATAATATCAGTAACTGTCATGTATCCAATAGTATGCTCACACATATAACATGCAAGTGAGCTATTTTCATAATTTTTTCCTTTTCCGTAAAACAGGGCTAACAAGAGTCTGTTCCTTGGTGCTACAAGCATTCATTATGTAAATAAGTAAGCATAAGTATTGTTGCTATTATTATAACCAAGTATTATTGCTATTATAACATTTAATTGAAACATCCCTATTAAGTACTTG